TTTGGAGGCTGCTGTAATGTCTGAACCATCACTGATTGAGATCAACTTACTCAGCACTGACTGGAGGGCAAACTTGGAATTGTCTGTATTACTTAGTACCATATTTGGTAAGGAAACTGTGTAGATAATGCATTGAAGCAATTGTATTTCACTATGTACATCTGATATAAACAGAAACCAGAAAATCTAAATCACCAAAACACATTAGTTGAAGAGTTTAAAAACTATTGTTTTGTTTGCAGAACTTATTTAAATGAAACAAATTATTTTATAACATTATCAAATTTACTAACTATTCTTTAATAAACATGCAGGATTGTGGAAACAGATGACCCATCCCATTAATCTACCTCTTAGTCTTTAAATAGTTGAAACATTTTTTTTAACATCAATGACTTGATACAATCATTTTGCATCAATGTATTAGCCTGAATTATTATGTGATATACTTGAACATGCAAAGTTTTTTTAGTTTATAAGTAATTTTTAGTAACTAATAAAGATCAGTCATTCTAACAACCATATTTACCAATAACCTTTCGTTATTAATAACATCATTACTCTTGCAAAAAAACTCTCAGTACTCTCAAGAAACAAAAAAGAACAGTGGATTCCAGGCTATGATGGGAGTGTTAGGAAATGTCACTGAAAGTTTGGTCAGCTAGGTTTTTAAAGATGCAGAGGGAAGAGTATTTTTCAATTCATTAAGGAGATATGGGCATTGCTGGCTGGCACAGCATTTATTGCCCAACCCAAATTGCCCTTGGGAATGTGGCCTTTTTACTGCAGTTCATTTGGAGTAGGTACTGCACAATTCTGTTGAGGAATGAGTTCATGACTTTGACCCAGTGACACTGAAGAAATGGTGATATATTTCTTCAGTCATTTGCTGCTACCACGTCGATGGTGGAGGGAGTGGATATTTGTGGATAATATGTCATTCAAGGAGGCAGCTTTCTCCTGAATGGTGTCAAGGTCCTTGTATTATTGAAGCTGCAGTCATCCAGGCAAGTGAAGAGTATTCCTGACTTGTGCCTGGGAGATGTTGGATAGGCCGTGGAAGTCAGAAGGTGAATTACTCACTGCAGGATTCTTGGCCTCTGACCTGCTCTTGTAGCCCACTAATTTTTATAGATGGTCCAGTTCAGTTTCTAGTCATTAGTAAATGGTAACCCCTGTGGTTTTAATAATGGGGCCTAAGTGACAGTATTGCAATTTAAGGAGCAATGGTTATATTCTTTCTTGTTGGGGATGGTGATTGCCTGGCACTTGTGTGTCTTGAATGTTATTTGTCACTTGTCAGTGCAAGCCTGGATATTGTCCAGGTCTTGCTGCATTTGGGCCTGGACTACTTCATTGTATGAGGAGTTGCAAATGATGCTGAACATTATGCAATTATCAGCAAACATCTCCACTTCTCACCTTGATGAAGCAACTGGAGAGATGGTTGAGCCTTACCCTAAGGGATTGACATATCCTTGAGCTGAGATGACTGAGTTCCAACTAGTACTTCCTTTGTGCTAGTATAATACCAATAGTGCAGATTTTCCCTCCATTTCCATTGACATTAGGTCTAGCATTTTTGATTCTGTACTTGGTCAAATGCAATCTTGATGCCAAGAGTAGTCATTCTCACCTCAGTTCTTCAATCAGTTTTAGCCCAATGCTATATGAAGTCAGAAGCTGAGTTCAGGAAGAGGTTCAAGAGAGTCAAGGCACCTGAACCCCAAGGCATCAAAGATGGAACCAGGATAGTGTGGGAGAAAACTCATGAGGATGGGAATAGAGAATAACATTGCAGCAATTTTTTTTTAAGATATGGAATGATGAAAAGAACTTTTTAAATGAATATGTGATGTCCTATGTATTGTTGAACAGGAGGCCAGTGAGAATGGAAATTTCTGTACAAGCGGGGCTTCAAATAGAGAAAATAAGGCCAATTAGTTATGGACAATGTGGAAGAAGTAAAAAAGAACACTACGGTTTTGCAGTCTCATTTGTCTTACGCATTTAGTTGGAGGGCAGAATACAGTTCATGCTAAGAGATGAGCACTTTTGATAGGCCTGTAAACTATAGTTTTGTTTCTCCTGAGAATTGGAAAAAAACCTTTGAATACATGACTTGATGTAATTTAGGCATTTTGCCAGCAGTGATGTGAGAGGTTGAATACTGCAGTGGAGTCCCGTCACACAGACGGCGACAGATTATAGTTATATGGCATCTTTAAATTCTCTCTGCTCTGTGGGGAGTATAAGCAAACAATATTTAATACTCGACTACACAAGGAGATATTAAAAACAGGTGAGCTAAAGCATAGTGAAAGAAAGATATTTGAAAAGAAATCTGAAGTGAGGAGGGAGAATTGAGAGTTGTGGGGAGTGAAATTGAGCTTAGCACCTAGACAGCTGGCATGACCATCAACACATACAGAGGCTGATCCCATGTCTATGAATGGTACCATGATGAAATCCCTTCCTCTTTCTGTACCACCAATAAAACATACTACTACCCTGTCCAAATACACACCTGCTTGCTGTGGAAACTATTTATTGTTTCCTCTTTAGTCAGCCCTCATACATTTTATTTTATTCTGCTTTATATAACTAAATGCTTCATCTCCTGAAGGAAAGTTAACATTAAAACAAGGAGAGCAGTGAAACAATATAACAGAGCGCAGCGTCAAGGATAATTGGGGAGCCGAATATCATGAAACATGACAGATGGGAGAATTATGGAGGGTGATGAAGCAGAGATTTAAATAGGAGTTTGATTTCTATTTCTGAACCAAATACTTGACCTTTATTCTGTTGAAGCAGCTTTTGTTTTGTTAATTCTAGAAGCCGGAATTAAAAGTTTATGGTGAGTACATCAATCAAATCACTGCTGAAAAATTAATTTTTATAGTTTTCTGTGAATATACTCTTTCCATAACATTGTCTCACTCATTACAGCTGGAAAATTTCTTGAGGCAAAGTTTTCCGATTTTGCCTGAGAGAGAAGGATAGCTGGCTGTGTGACTGTAACAATTCACCACAAATAACTGTTAAAAACAGGCTCATTAAACAAGAGTTTTGACATCCCTCTTTCATTATTGAATATAATGATGTATTTCACTCTGAGAGGGCATGACCTAGCACATGTGAAACATTCTATCACCTGCAGTGATTGAAATGGACCCAATGAAGCAGTAAAAATCTGTTACTGTTGATCTGTACTTAAAGAAGGTGGGGAAAAGCTAGAACAGATAAATAACATTAAAAATTTAGGTCATTATCTGATTGATGATCATTGCAGATTGAGGGGTACCTCAGAAACATTAAACTTTTCTGAAATCATACATATTGTGGTGTATCTTCAGTTTTTCCTGTTTTTATTTCTGTTTTCCAGCAGAAGGCAGATTAGGAATAATGGGCAGGGCCTCTGCCCCAGTGTGACTGCTGATGGATCTGTAAGGGTCTGTGCTGGAACCTCAGTGATTCCCTGTATTTATTAACTATACTATATTTGCTTATATGGGATGTGGGAGTGAGCTGCCTTTTTGAACTGCAGCAATCCATTTGGTCTGGGGGTACCCATAATGCCATTAGGAAGAGAGTTCCAGCAATTGCCAAAGTTCTCCCACTGGTAGTCAGGAAAGAGTTGTCAAAGCTTGAAACTTACTCCGAGTTAAAATCCCCCTAGTGTTCCTATTTTAAAATGTATGTATCTTTACTATGTGATTAGGTTGAATGATTTGACACTTCGTAGAATCATTTTTTTCATATTCACAAAATCTGTCACTCTCCTTGCTGAAAACCCAGAATGCATCATTTACCAACATGTCATTTCATCTAACAGCACTGATTCATGTTGGTATCACGACTGTTACTTCATTGAGACTTGACAAGCAAGTTGTTTGAAATTTTTTAAATTATGAAGGGAATCAGTAAATTTATAAAAGTCGGTTTAATTATTGTGAGAAGGGGCTCGAATATGCAGGTATTGGTTTTAAATTAGGAGACTGGCAGAGGGAAGGGAAGTCGGTAACGTTTTTTGTGCATAAGTTAGTAAAGTTCCCAGTTAAGGTTATTGCAGGAGTTGGCATAAGTTATGTAAATAACTTTTAGATACCTTTGCAGATAAAGTTGAAATTGCAAGATGGGAGAAGTATTAGTTGAGAACATACTTGTTCAGCTCAAAGCTTTTTCCAGTTCTTAAGACAGTTTTTTTTTTCTTTTAATTCTCCTCCATCCCAAACTTCCCCTTTGTACTTCCTGTGGCTATGGCTCCCTGCTGTGGAGTTCTGCGGATGCAATGATTTTCCCCCTCTTGCCTTACACCAACGGCCATATTTTAATGTGAAAACTAACTTTGGTTGGCTATTGACCTGCAGGGAGCATCATAATCAAATTTAATTCTATGTTTTCCTAATATTTATATATATACTTTTCCAGGAGAGGGCCTGTCTTGTGAATCAACTGATCACCAAATCCAAGGTGCTGAAATTAATTGCAGTAGACTTACCATGATTCCAGCTGAATTAAAATTAGATCTTCAATGACTATAGGTTTACCGACTTAGAGGAGAAAATATTTGTAGTACAAAATTGAAGAACTGAAGTTTCGTTGCCATGCTGCTTGTTATGTTGCCTCTGATTGGTGATATCAATTCTGGAGACGCAGTATCAATAAGATTTGTGATCCACAGAAGACTGATTGCAGATCCAGTGATTGAGATTTTACAGGGCCTTCAGGCATGGGCTTGAAGGCATGAAGGTTGGCATAATGGCATAGAATGGTATTGGGCAGCTAATTAAGGACCTTTTCCCACCTCTGACATTTCACCAGTTGTGGCAACCCTCCACTACGTAAGGAGATTGTGTCATTATTTGTCCTTAGTGATATCTCCCCACCTTGCAGGAGCCTGCCTATGTAGCCTTGGCGTTGTAAAGCTCCACCTAACCTGACCTTGAGGATGCATGCCCATCGATGCACCTGCTTCCTCAAGGTGCACTCCCGGAATGGCCACCACAAGTAATGGGGTTGCTGAGCTATCAGCCCTTTGATTGCGATGATGGTTTTTTGGGCTGGGCTGCTGCCCCCTGGTAAAATGCAATCTGAGAATGTGCCCCTGACCCCTCCAGTCCACTTTCAACCTTGGCCGCAGGATTACTGACATCTTTGGAAAATCCATTCAAACATATTGAGGGAATGTGGAGATGAAAGAATTTTTCTGTGTGTATTAATTGTAATAACATAATAAACATTTTCAAAATAATTTGTTTCCAGTTTTAACAAAGAAGAATCTTGCCTTCAGTGATTGGTGCCAGATATTTTAAAGCAGGTTCAATCTTAACGAAAATTTAAGGTTTACTATAAATTAATTAAATGCATTGAATTTGAAATGTCCTCAAAAAACCTTTCTGTCCTTGCCCTCTTTGTTTGATTTAAAATTAGGAGAATGACTCTGTGAGCCATTGTATTCCTTTTGGATTTGTCCTCTTGCCAGCCTCCAGGCTAAATGGAGCCCCTTGTATAATATGGAAACTTGGATGTGGTAGAATAAAATGAGGCAGCCTAAACTTTTTACCTTAATTCGGTGAAAGGCATTTATTTTGATGACAATTGCATAGTTACACATTTTCTACAATGCAGTCTGTTTCAAGCAAGTTACATTGTTAGTACTTATGGTGCAGTTAATAGAACTGTTAGCCCATAAAGGGCAACTGGATTAGAATTTGCCCCAGTATGTTTGCCAAGAAAGTTACCAGTAAACAAAAAAACTATAGTTACTTTTTTCAAAAATGTTTTGAATCAGTAACCTCTCTACATTAATGTTGTTGCTGATGAACGTTAACACTGGTAGTAGTGTTGTCCAGTGAATAAAGGGTTGCTACTGCCCTGATGCCAGGAATCAAAATCACTGCTGGTGATGTCAGTGTTTGTTTTCTCCCTGTGCCTGTGGAAGGGGTGATTGAACATTCAACCTGATCATTTAACTGCTGAACTTTCTTGACAACCTTGTGGACATTCCCAGTTGGATTTGTTTTCCAAACAACTTATTACGCCTCACTGGAATACGTTGCTGGAAATCAGGCCCGGCTATTCCTGGAGTTGGCACAAAAGTTAACAGTTTTAAATAGTACATAGAATTCTCCAATTTAGCTGTCTTTTAGACCCAGGTTGACATAAAGCACAGACTAGGTTTCTGCGCATAACAAGAATTGCTATTTATTGCAATAAAAACAGATTCTACCTACAGATAAACAACTAAGAAACATTGATATTTATTTCTACTAATTAAAACTCTACCCCATTTGATGTCTACAAGTGTACAGACATGCACAAAAAACGTGTGTTATAGGAGGAGAGAAACATAAAATAGGGACAGGAACAGGCCATTTGGCCCTTGGAGCCTACTCCACCATGCAATATGATCATGGCTGATCATCCAATTTGGAAGCCTGTTCCAGAAAGGGCCAAATGGCCTCCTCCTGCTCCTATATTCTATGTTTCTATGACTTTCTCTCCATACCCTTTGATCTGTTTAGCCCTAAGAACTATGCCTACTCCTTCTTGAAAACATTCAATGCTTTGGCTACAACCACGTTCTGTGGCAGAGAATTCCAAAGGCTTACCACTCTCTAGGTGAAGAAATGTCTTCTCATCTCAGTTCTAAATGGCCTACTTCATATCATTAGACTGTGACTCCTAGTTCTGGACTCCCCAGTCATCAGAAACATCCTTTCTGCATTTACTCTGTCTAGTCCTTTTAGAATTTTATAGGTTTCTGTGAGACTTCCCTAGTTCCCCTAAACTGCGGTGAATATAGTTGTAACCTATCGATGTCAGTTCCTGCCATTCCAGGTCCGTCTGGTAAAATAACTAGGGAAGTAACTCTGTGGTCCTTGTCCAGAAGGTCTGCTGAGATGATCCTTTTCCTGATCAGAACACTGCTTCTCAATCTTATTCAGGTATTCTTGCTTGTGTGCAGGAGGTATAGAGTGACTGGTTCACATTAATTAAAAGTCACAGGCTTCAGGATTGAGATACTTGATATTGCAGAGCAGAAACAGAACTCCTTCCTGTCTCTGCCTAAACATTTACGCCCACAAATTCTTTAGCCAGTTGGGAGACAACCACACAGCTGTTGGCAGGCAGGAGACTTTTTTCATTGATATTGGGTCACTAGTCCACAGTGCTACTTGTTGTCACTTGAATCTGCATTCATATGCAGTTCCCTGGCTCCTGTAATCTGTAATGAGGCTTCCACTACTGCTTGAACTACTCCCAATGTGTGCCTGGTTATTTGACTTTAATAAGTGCAACAGTCCTTCAACAATGCTTAGCTTTTAAATCAGTTTTTTTTTCAGTATGCAAACAAAAATACTGAAACACAAAACATATGGACTTTACCCAAATTATGTATATGTGTGTTGTGAAATTCTCCTCTCAAATGTAATCGGGATAGTTTCTCTCGTGGTTCCATGAATAAGTTCCACTGTAGGTTTTGTGCATAAATATCAAGTCTAACACTCCAGTACAGTACTTAGACTGTGATAACAAGGTGTGGAGCTGGATGAACACAGCAGACCAGGCAGTATTGGAGGAACAGGAAAGCTGACGTTTCGGGTCTGGACCCTTCTTCAGAAATTGGGGAGGGGAAGGAGGCTCTGAAATAAATAGAGAGAGGGGGAGGCGATGATAGAAGGTGGATAGAGGAGCACATAGGTGGAGAGAAGACAGACAGGTCAAGGAGGCAGGGATGAGGTCAGTACAGGTGAGTGTAGGTAGGGAGTTGGGATGGGGGTTGGTCAGTGTGGAGCGGAAGAGGGAGTGGCGGAGAGAGCGGTCCCTCCGGAAGGCAGATAAGGGTGGGGAGGGAAATATATCCTTCCGGAGGGACCGCTCTCTCTGCCACTCCCTCGTCCGCTCCACGCTCCCCACTAGCCCCACCACCCCCGGCACTTTTCCCTGCAACTGCAGGAGGTGCCACACCTGCCCCTACACCTCACTCCTCACCTTCATCCCAGGCCCCACGAAAACCTTCCACATTAAACAGATGTTCACCTGCACATCCGCTAATGTGGTATATTGTATCTGCTGTTCCCAATGTGGCCTCCTCTACATTGGGGAAGCCAAGAGGAGGCTTGGAGACCACTTTGTGGAACACCTACGCTCGGTTCGTGACAAATGACAATACCTCCTAGTCGCGAACCACTTCAACTCCTCTTCCCACTCCTTGGACGACATGTCCATCCTAGGCCTTCTCCAGTGCCACAATGATGCCACCCAAAGGCTGGAGGAACAGCACCTCATATTCCGCCTGGGAACCCTGCAGCCCAATGGTCTCAATGTGGACTTTACAAGCTTCAAAATCTCCCGACCTCATCCCAAGACCAGCCCATCTCGTCCCTGCCTCCTTGACCTGTCCATCTTTTCTCCCACCTATCTGCTCCTCCCACCTCACTGACCAACTCCCACCCCCACTTCCTACCTACTAGCCTCATCCCCGCCTCCTTGACCTGTCCGTTTTCCTTCCCACCTACCCACCCCTCCCTCCTCACTGTCCAACCCCCATCCCAACTCCCTACCTACACTCACCTGTACTGGCTTCATCCCCGCCTCCTTGACCTGTCTGTCTTCTCTCCACCTATCCGCTCCTCTAACCGCCCTCTATCATCGCCTCCCCCCTCTCTATTCATTTCAGAGCCCCCTTCCCCTCCCCCATTTCTGAAGAAGGGTCCAGACCTGAAACGTCAGCTTTCCTGCTCCTCTGATGCTGCCTGGCCCGCTGTGTTCATCCAGCTCCTTGTTACCGCAGACTCCAGCATCGGCAGTTCCTACTATCTCCCAGTACTCAGACGGTGTTGCACTGGCAGAGGTACCATCGTTTGACTAAGATATTGAACTGAGGCTCCATCTTGGAAGTTTATTGTGCAGAAGTTGACTGCTATGTTTTATACATTACAACAGTGACTGTCCTTTGAAACTGCTTTAGTGGGTGTACAGCATTGAAATTTGCTATGTAAATATGGTTTTGCTTTTTTAAAGACTTCTTCTAAATATCTTTTTTCGGATAATTAGGATGCTTTGCAACATGGAAGCTATCTGCATACTTCATGTGTAGATATATTTTTTGGATCTAACTAGCTAAGTTTAGTTGTGTAGAACATTGAGAAACTTAATGCTGCTTCAGCTCAGTTCACCTTGGTGCATTAGCCTGCCAACACTCTCATGGATGCTAGCCAATCCTTCTATACCTGTCCTAAGTGACTAATCCACACATCTAGCTTCAGCAGCACAATATAGCAGGTTAGCTGGTTGCTCATCAGCTGGAGTACTGCAGATCTATGTGGATCGTATGTCACTTTACAGAATATCCCATGAATTGAGTCAATTCTAATCATTCGTTCCCCTTTCCTGCCTTATTGGAGCCAATAAGACCAGAAAGGGATTTGCATTTTATTTTTAAATCAGTAGACATTACTGGCAAAGTACAGGTGGAATAAATATGGTGGAGAGTTGAACAGAATAGAGTCAAGAGAAAAATGAGACAAACCACTATGTCAATCGCATTGTTCCTTGTTTTTCAGGGTCTGGATATTCTTATGCTGGGAGCCATGATGTCGATTACAGTGTTCAATATACAGGAAGCAGCTACTATTTAGATTATAAAGGTAAATTTCTTATTTATAGACACATACCTGTAATATTGTCACAGTTTCCAACTGCACTATCAAGTAAAGTTATTTTAACATTAATTAAAATATTCTGGCAATTCTATTCATAAAATCTAAAATTGGTGTTCTTGCATTTATTTTAGGTGAATCTCACGAATATGTGAAGATAGGTTAGCCACAAATAGATCACTGTATTTCAAGTGTTATTGTTTAAAGGCTGCCATGAGCTACGCACAAAAGGATTTACAATAGAGCCTGAGGTCATAAGCCAGCTAGTACACAAAGTAAAATAGCTTTCTCCAAGCATTTCCCCATTTCATGGAAGATATTGCATGTACTATCAATTGTAGGTACAAGTTACTCAGGTTCTCCAATATACATGGTATTCATGAAGTGGATATGCTTTTATGACAAGGTGATAATTTCAGTAAAGGTGAACATGAAACTAGGTTATAATTTCAAATCTACGAATGAATTGATTTTTTACGTTTTACCATCTGCCATCATAAGATTTGAACCTGTGTCCCGAGAACTTGGTGTCTAGATTAGTGAACAATAACATTAACACTATACCACCATCCCACTAATTGCTACATGTTGCAGACAGACACACTGGAAAGCATGCCTTTAGCCTATTCTCTAACCTCTCCTTATTATTATTTGCACTATTTTAAATAGCTTCGATGACTTACTAAAAAATGTTTTTAATATTTGCTAGAAACAGAAAACAAAAAATATTCCCAATATGCAGCCATTATTATAAATGGAGACTGGATAGCTATGTTTGAGAAAGATGCAAAACGACTTTGTGCCTTCAGAAACAAAAAGATATTTAATAAAGTTCTTTTTTAATTAGTTTGATGTGGTGTTGAAGTTTTTGATGTATTCAAATTTCAGTAGATTTTCTTTAGTAGCAAAGAGAACACCAAATCTTATGCATGATCATAGCAGCTGCTCCGCTCCTTCAGGTTTCTATCTAATTTTGAACTTTGCAAATGGGACACAACACTGACAGCATTATAGGACCATTGCTGAGTGAGGCGGATATAATGGTGCCTCGCTGATGCCAGAGAGTTTACATGTCAGATGGCATTGAGGCTCTAGTCCTCCAAAGCTACTTTTACAAATGTACTTGCACAAAGTATTTGAAATCGTAACACTAAATAATGAGGTACTGCAGTAAACTCTGCATTATATTATCATGTATTGATCAGGAGTGTTCATTTTAGTGCCAGACTACAGCATGTGTTTTATATCAGTGGACATTCTTAAGTTTAATATGGTTTTTATTTTACATGTCTATTATAATGCTAGATTACGTTTCCAAAGGGAGCCTCTAGCTTTTAAATGCATGAGTGTCTGACCGCAAAATTGATTTTGATCAACTGCAAAAGACATTACACACATGCAATGACTTTAGTACTATAAATGTCTTTCATCAAAATTCACCTATTAAAGGACCACTTTTGGGCTAATATCAGTAAGTTCATATGGAGGAGGATCAATGTTTGGAATTAATTTTTGGACACTGATGGAGACAACAGTCCAAATGCATTTATAAAGCAATTGTGCATCATGATAGTATTTTTGAGGACATTTGGATAGCACAGCTGTTGTAGGCAAAAATGTCATCCATATTGCTTATTATTTAACGATCTTCTGATCAGCAGTATTATAGAAACACATTGTTGTAAATACATAAAAAGCAAATTTTACTTTGCTAATAGTTAAATTTGTATTTTTAAAAAAACCCTCAAATTGAGTTTGGGGCCTTCTAGGTCCATTTAATACCATAGAAGAGTTCTTAATATCCAAATTCAAAGCATATAGGATTGTGGGAGTATACTGGCATGGATGGAGAACTGGTCAGCATGTGGGAAACCGAGTGGAAATGAATATGTCCTTTTTGGGTAGAAAATGCTGTCTGGTAGGGTACTGCAAGGCCCTTAGCTCTTCACAATATATATCAATAACTGGACAAAAAAATCAAATGCACTATTTCAGAGTTTTCAAACAATATAAAGCTAGGTTGGATTGTGAATGATGAAAAGGATAAAAAGAGGTTTCAAGGCAATTTACACAGTTTTTGTTTTAATTCACTCATGGGATGTTGATACTGCTGACTAGGCCAGCATTTATTTTATGTCCTTGGTTGCTCTTGAGAAGATGGTGGTGAGCTGCTTCTTGAACCATTCCAGTCCATGTGCTGTTTGTAGACCCACAATGCCGTTAAGGAGAGAATTCCAGGATTCTGACTCAGTGACACTGAAGGAATGATGACATATCCCCAAGTCAGGATGGTGAGTGGCTTGGAGGTGAGCTTGAATGTGGCAGTGTTCCTTTATATCTGGTGATCTTGTCCTTCTAGATGGAAGTGGTCATGGGTTTGGAAGCTGCTGTCCAAGGAGCCTTGCTGAATTTCTGTAGTGTATGTTGTAGATGGTATATACTGCTGCTATTGAGCATTGGTGATGGAGGGAATGAATACTTGTGGACCTGGTGCCAATCAAGCAGCTGCTTTGTTCTGGATAGTATCAAGCTTCTTGAGTGTTTTTGGAGCTACTCTCGTCCAGGCAAATGGGGAGTATTCCATCATACTCCTGACTTGTGCCTTGCAAATGGTGGCAGGCTTTGGTGAGTCAGGAGATGAATTACCAATTGCAGGGTTCCTGGTTTCTGATCTTGTAGCCACTATGAGCTGCTAGGGATTCTAATTTCTATGCTTTCTATGGTAACCATCAGAATGTTGATAGTGGGGAATTCAGTGTCGGTAATGGCATTGAATGTCAAGAGGTTATGGTTAGATTCTCTCTTGTTGGAGATGGTCATTTGTATTGTGTGAATATTACTTGCCACTCGTCAGCCCAAGTCTGGATATTGTCCAGGCCTTACTGCAATTGGCCATGGGAAATGTCATTACCTGAGGAAGTGAAAGAGTGGGCAATAACATGATAAATTCAGTACAACATTGATAAGTCAAGCAGCATCATAGGAGCAGAGAGACTGACGTTTCGGGCCTAGACCCTTCATCAGAAAAGGGGGAGGGGAAGGGGGTTTTGAAATAAATAGGGAGAGAGTGGGAGGCGGATAGAAGAGGGGTAGAGGAGAGGATAGGTGGAGAGGAAACAAACAGGTCGAAGAGGCGG